GACTTCTTGTTTGCTCCCAACAACCAGTTTAGGTGGCTACACTTTATAGATTCAATTAAATAAGTCATCTGACTTGACAAATGAATCTATAATTTAATGTCGTGTAAGTGTCGTCTAAACCGGTGCTTAACATCAGTGATAATAAATAACATTACTCATTTTAGACGACTACTGTACGCCAAAGTCACAAAACAACTGCAAATATTCTCTTACTTTTTCAAGTGTCAATAGATTTTTGACATTTTGGGAATTCAATACAAAACACACATACAAAAGCCGAAGTGTCACCAAATTGTTTGTTTATTTTCCTCTCGATTTCTTCTTCACGAATAGCACAAAACTGATTAAGCAGGAAAGGAGGATCATGATATTAACCATTGAGAATGTCATTTGCAAGGAATATATTAGCAGCTTCTGTAGTGTGTATACCATCCCATCTCACGTAATTTTGAGGGTCTTTACAAGCAGTAGCAGTGACTGTTTTCTCATTGATTAATGTGCTATATCCACAGAAATTAGAGGACTAAAATTGTAAGCACCACTTCCATGTCCACAACATGCTCTAGTTCCATGCTGCAACCCTGTACATTCAGTGTATTCCAGATTAGCCCCGTGTGATTCGAGTTGTATTGTTGCACGATGGTTATGTTAGGCTTAAAAGACCTTACCATGGGAGGTCGGGTGCTGGACGAGGTCTAGCAGAACTGCCTGAGTGCCCATGTAAATTACATTTGCCTTTGGAAGATCGTTTCTAGTTTATTCAAGTGTTTCCTTAAGCATAATGTTGTGTTTATTCGCTGCATTGTTTGAAGATGTCATGCACCCAAATGCGTCTATATCAGCACTGTTGTGAGGCAGCTCGACCAAGAACGTCGGTTAAAAACCTATTGGAGCAAGACTGAGTACGAGAGATGTGCGCCTTCCTAATCAGTAAGTTCTTAATTATTGTAGACGAAAACCAATTGTAGCCTTTTCGGTCCATTATTAAGTGCAAAACATGCCCTTAGTTGTCACGAGGGAGAAAGTGGTGTAGTATATTAGGACAATGCTAGAGTGATGCTAAAGAGGTCGATCGTGTTACTGTTTTCATTGAGCAAGAATATTACTAGTGACTGGATATGCTATCTATTTGCAACTGTAATGACATAGACATGTCCAATAAAGGGCACAAGATTTGATCTCATACATAATAAATCATGGCAATGATTTAAAACAAATGTCGAATAATTTGGCTTGGCTCGACCCCGGAATGACCAACACTTTTGGAGAGCCCAGGTTTTGTTTAGTGTTTGGCTTTGGGTTATTAGTTGGAGGGATTCTTTGTTAAAAGACCCAGTCAAACAAAGTAGTTGGAAAAA